GAGCCATCTACATTAGGCCCCAGCTGGAGTATCATGTCCAGTTCTGGGCGCCACATTTCAGGTAACATGGAGAAACTGGAGAAAGTCCAGAGAAGATTAACACAAGTGATAAATGTTCTAGAGAACATGAGATATGAGGCAATGCTGAAGGAATTGGCCTTGTTTACCTTGGAAAAGAGAAGACTGAAAAGGGACATGAGAGCAGCTTTCAAATATCTAAAAGAGTATCATAAGGAGGAGGAAGAAAAATTGTTCTCCTTGGCCTCTGAGGTTAGGATGAGAAGCAATGGGCTTAAACTGCAGCAAGGGAGGTTTAGGTTGGGCATTAGGAAAAACTTCCTGCCTGTCAGGTTGGTTAAACACTGGAATAAATTGCCTAGTGAGATTGTGGAATTTCCATCACTGGAGATATTTAAGACCAGGTTAGACAGACACCTGTCAGGGATGAGCTAGGACAACTCAACTTTGGAAGCCCCATGGGCCACACTGATACTTACAGAACATGCTGAGGGCCTCAACTTAAGTGTGGTTGCATATGCAAGCAAATGTATACAAATAGTTTCTCTCACACTGACAGGCATGAATACAAAGATTAAGGCAAGACTACACAACACACAGACCCCATTTAAGTCAGCTCTGCTTATATTAATAAAATGAAATAATTACCCGATTTCTACCCATGTGACAGCACTTTTCATGAGCAATGATAGGTCCAAGAATTTAACTACTACAATGCATATCAACAGAAGATCATTACACTGACTACTTTTTTGTTTTTGGCTCCCACTCGCCGGCCACGTGTTGATTCCCATATAAACCCAAACTGCACCGCGGGGCACAAACAAACAGCCCTTCTCTCCCTCCTGTGCCCACTCCTTCAGTAGCCCCACTCTGATCAGGTGAGCTACCTCTCCTCATCCCCTCCTCTAACACTTCCCTCTACACACCTGCCCTGCCTCTCTCCTCTGGTGCTGGTCCCTCCCCTGCAGGTGTCTGCCCTTCTGCTTCACCCCCAGAATCTCCTGGCACCTGCACCTTCCCTTAGCCATGCACCCTTCTGGTGCCTCCCCCTTCGCTCACTGCCCCTGCCCCCTTTGCCCTCTTTTTCCCTGATGCCCACTCCCTCACCACTCTCTGCCCCCATTCCCCTCATGCCCCTCTGTGCCCTCACACATGATTTGCTCCATCCCTACCTTTCTCATGCCCACCTCTCCTTTCAAGTCTTCTCCCAGCATCTCCCCTCCCCCCTCCAGACCCTAATGCCCTTCTCCTCTCCTCTCCTCTTCTCTCCTCTCCTCTCCTCTCCTCTCCTCTCCTTCCTATCCCCATCCATCCCTCTCCCCTTTCCCCACCATTCCCCTCTTGCCGGTTGCATTTCCCCGCCCGGAGGACGTAACGTCCCAGCCGTCGCTGTCCGTGGGGAGGACTGGATGGGGGTCCCAGGAGACCGTGGGAAAGTCTGGATCAGCATGGACGCTGGTTGAAACGATTCAAGCACCGTCCTGTTGGTATGGGCCCTGCAGGGGGGATGTGGCCAAGTCTCAGTGCTGGGGTCCCCTTCCTTCCCTCTGAACCTGTCCCCAGGCTGGACCCCTCCCTCTCTGGGGGATCACGAGGGAGGGGTTAGAACAGGAGAGGCGTGTACTTTGCCAGTGCCAAATTCACAACGGGGCAACTTTGTACCTGGGGGGGGACTAGAATCACCCCCTCTCCCTTCCTCCCCACCCACCAAGGGCTCATAGTCGTGCCAAATCCAAGTGCCAAAATGTTACCCCCCAGGCGCCCCCTGCTGGCGGGGGGTGGTAACTCAGTGTGCTGGTATTTTCAGGGGGAGGGGTCTCTCTCTGTTTTAGTACCCTCCCCATCTTCTGTCTGCTTCACCCTCCCACCTCCAGCCCGGCCTTTCCCTGGTCTTCAGGGGGGCCCCCAGAGTGGGGATGGGGGAGTTCTGCACCCAGCGTTGTTTCCATAGGGGGAGAACTTCCCTTAGCAGTGCCCCCGCCCCCCCAAGCAAGGGCCGTGAGCTGAATGACCCCGGATCCAAGAGGGGGCAGAGTTCACCCCAAGAGGGGGCAGAGTTCACCCTGGAGCAGGGGGAGCAGAATGAAGAAATTCCCTACAGCTGCCCCCCGATAGTCCGCCCCATGCACAGCTCCTTGCCTCTCGCCATAGCCCCCCCCCCAGGCACTGTGTCTCTTCCCTGACCCCAGGGCCCAGAGAGGGCAGGTGAGGCATGGCTGGGCTGCCCCGCCCTGTAGCTATTCCTTGGCCCCCCTTCCACCCTTCACACAGATGACGCGGTCCCTATTGGGACTATAAAACAAGCCATTTCCCCAGGCCACGTGGACCCGCAGTAAGCAGCCCTGCTAAGCTCAGTGTCCATAGACTAAACAGCCCCCAGGGGCGCTAGAGACCCTACAATAAACAGGATTGGCAGGCAATAACCGATGGCCTCCATCATCACCAGCCTTGCCGGGCAATCAACAAACACAGGCCACAGCTCGGCCCATGGCTGAAAACCCCCTTTCCAAGAGATAGCGACCGCAGCATCCCCGCCAGCACCCCCCAGGGGACCCCCTTCCCAGGGGGCCATGGCTGCCCAGCCAAACAGGACTGTGTA